CGTGGGTATTCTAAACGATTTTTACGAAACATAAAAAATTCCACCTTAGCACAGATAGCAGCTAAAAACATACTTTATGCCGAAGTGCCTCCAGGTTTAAGAAGTGCTCCATGTTTGTCCAGTAGATGCAAAACACGTCCCTTTATATCAGAAACTCATTATTTTGTAAGCAACTCTACGAATAAAAGGTACCCGATCCAGGAACATCTAACATGTGAAAATTCGAATATAATATATTTAATTTCATGCAAGAAATTACGAATTCGCTTTAATGCTCATAGGTCAGACATCAAATTAAAGAAAGACAAGCCTGTTTCTAATCATTTCAACCTCGACGACCATTCAATAGACGATCTCACCCTAATCCCAATTGAGCGTATAGAAATTGACTTGCCCGAAGATGAAACTACCAAATTCCGTCAATCTAGGGAGGCCCATTGGATTGAGACATTGAATACAGCAAGACCTATAGGACTAAATATTCATCATAATGTAGGCATAGCACCCTTTGTTGTCCCGTTTAATACAACCAGCAATCGAGCAAGCAAGATAGTTCATGCCCACTATAAGAGCCTTCAAGAGAAATTCCCCCATGTCTATAAGCAGAAAATGATAGTTGCATATTCAAAAAATAAGAACTTAAATGATAATATTGTTCATAGTAAACTAAAAACAATCAGTACATAACAGATACTGTACTTCTCGCCCATCGGGCGAGTTATTTTTTCTAATTTCAGATCAGAATAAGAACAGAAGAAAACCCAGTATCAAGACCCTTAATCCTAATTTCTAAATAAAGTGTCTGCTCCACCCTAGGCCTGTACATTTGGGAGAATCAAACCCTCCCTTCCCCGAAATCTAATCATTTCAACCTCGACGACCATTCAATAGATGATCTCGCCCTAATCCCAATTGAGCGTATAGAAATTGACTTGCCCGAAGATGAAACTACCAAATTCCGTCAATCTAGGGAAGCCCATTGGATTGAGACATTGAATACAGCAAGACCTATAGGACCAAACATCCATCATAATGTAGGCATAGCACCCTTTGTTGTCCCGTTTAATACAACCAGCAATCGAGCAAGCAAGATAGTTCATGCCCACTATAAGAGCCTTCAAGAGAAATTCCCCCATGTCTATAAGCAGAAAATGATAGTTGCATATTCAAAAAATAAGAACTTAAATGATAATATTGTTCATAGTAAACTAAAAACAATCAGTACATAACAGATACTATACTTCTCAGAATAATAACTGAAGAAAACCCAATATCAAGACCCTTAATCCTAATTTCTAAATAAAGTGTCTGCTCCACCCTAAGCCTGTACATGAATCAAACCCTCCCTTACCCGAAATCTAGCTAAATCAGCATCATTTGCAAGATTTCTTACCGGTTCTTTTAAAACACTTCCATCGGGTATCCAACCTGAGAGTGAATCGAAATCTTTAGGATATAAAACTGTTTTCAACATTGTGTCGAATTCCCCAGGGTGTTTAATTGTTTATATCGGATTCCATCTTTAATTTTGAAATCGCATCTGAAATAAGCATCGGAAAGAAGCAACCAATTCGATAATGAATTTATTCCAAAGGTAATTCTACCACCATCATTCAATTGGGATTTAGAACCAACAGTCGGTGAGATGATAATATAATCCTCTTTGTTCGTGTTAAATGAATAACGAATCGGATCGTATAATCTAAAGATTGGATCTAGTATTTTATTTGCCATTTTTAAGGTTTAAAATTTGAGTAGAAAATTGTTTTCCAAAACAAGAGTTATCTCCATTTTCTATTAAAAAAGGGTATTTTAATATGCTTTTTTGATGGAATGTAGTAATTGATTGAAGGCGTTTTTGGTGTATGAAATGTAGGGAGTATAGGGTGTGATAATTTAAGAGAGTTTAGGTCTTTTTTGGGAGGGAATTGATGGAATGTAGGGTGTTTAGGTCTTTTTTGGGAGGGAATTGATGGAATGTAGTGTGTTTAGGTCTTTTTTGGGAGCTTATAGATTGGTCGCATTTTCCCCATGAAATGAAATGGAATGGGGAATCCCCGTGCGACCAATCTGTAAGCTCTAGTACTACTCACTGAACAAAGTTTAGAGAATTAAACTCAAGAAGAAATAAGAAGAGTAAGAGAGAAAATAGAAAGTGAGAACAAATTGGGAGAATAAAATCAAGCTCACTTGATTTTATTTTAATAAAAAACATATTAAGGAATATTGTTATGCACATTCATGAAGCTTGGGACAAAATTTTAATTCAAAATTTGACTTGGAAACTTTCATGTCCACATATGTGGACATGGGGTCTGGATTTGACAAATCAACAAATATTGTCCGCTGTAGAGTATGTTGTTTTTACGATCTTTTGAAAAGGATAAGAAGTTAAAATCTACTTTTAGGAAATAGGCTATGCTCTCCCTTATATTTGGAAATTTCAACAAGAAATCTTACGTCAGTTTTGAGGAGTTATCGCCCTTTAACCTCTTTACAGTAAGTGCTTCTATCAACATCAATGGCTCGTAAACACTCTAAAACACTCTCGTCCGTCCGTCAACATTTGCTTGTAAACGCTCTAAAAACTAGATTTTTTGATGGAATCAAATGAAATTCGGTATGTGTATACATATTCATAAAACGAAGATCAAGTTCGAATTTGAGCTATTTTCAACTGTTAGAAGTAGAGTTATTGCCCTTGTCCCAAAATCTTGAATATGCTATTACTCTCTTAGTTTTCAACCGATTTTGATGAAACTTAAAATGGATGTTATTGGACCTAAATCGAAAGGTTTGAGAAAGTTTAGTTTACTTCTGATTAAATTTAAGGCTTTTTCAAGATTTAGGCCTCTTACGTCAGTTTTGAGGAGTTATCGCCCTTTAACCTCTATACAGTAAGTGCTCCTATCAACATCAATGGCTCGTAAACACTCTAAAACACTCTCGTCCGTCCGTCAACATTTGCTTGTAAACGCTCTAAAAACTAGATTTTTTGATGGAATCAAATGAAATTCGGTATGTGTGTACATATTCATAAAACGAAGATTAAGTTCGAATTTGAGCTATTTTCAACCGTTAGAAGCAGAGTTATTGCCCTTGTCCGAAAATCTTGAATATTTACTATCTGCATGCCGTGGTGGGCGTATATGGCTGTGGTCCACTATCTTTGATCTAGCTAACAGTAATTGTTGGCTGTTGTATAGATTGGAAAGTTGATCCAATATGCAATCATTTGATTTCAGAAGTGCCATTGCCTATTCTCTATTTACAAGGGAGCCGCGGTGGCTCAGTGATTTAGACGCTTGCTAACCTAAGGTCCAGGGTTCAATCCCGGCATAGGTCGAGATAATACCTTCGGATTTTTCAACCCGGTTTCCCCCCGTCAGTGATGCAGGTTAGAGGGGCTGACATGGAAAAAGCGTCTAGTCGTTCGGATGGGACAATAAACCGAGGCCTACAGGCTGTGCACGTTAAAGTTCCCTCGACAGTTGGAAATCGAAAAGACCAGGCTTATGCCGCTGTCCTGGCAAAATTTCCCTCATCGCACCCTGCATGGCGTTGCCCGTCTTCATTAGCCCACAAGGTGCAGAAAAGTAGGACGTAAAACTCCATTCATTTCATTTTTTTATTCTCTAATTACAGAAAATGATGAGGACAGCAGCGAGGATGAGGAAAATACACCCCCTCAAAGAATTGATAATAACTTAAATGCAATACCACCTTTAAAATTTCGAAAACAATCAAAGCATTTGCCAAAAGCGATTGAATTAAAAAATGCTGATAGGTGCAGAAATCCTGGATGTCACCATAAAACAAGAGTTCATTGCAGTAATTGTAGAGTGTTGCTGTGAGTTGCATCTAACAGAAACTGCTTTTTTTGTTATTTTTAGTCTAGAAAAGGGAGATAACTCTTTTTTGGATAAAAAAAAAGACCACAATTTCTTCGTTAAATTAACTCATTTAAAAATAGGATGAGTTTAATTCTAAAGCACGAACAACACAGATTCGAAGATAATTCGGGCGACGGTATCTTTTCTTCATTATTTTCTCTAGGTAAAACAATAATTCCAAAAGTAGCTAGCTTTGTTTCAAAAAAACAAGTCACTCATTTCAACCGGAGCGAAAGCCATCGGCTCAATCGCGGAAGCGGGAAAGAGTATAAGCGACACAGTGAAACAATCTAACGAGTTGAAAGAATTAGAGCTAAATACGAGAACTTCGAAACAGGAGATTAGAAAAAAGGAAAGGAAAAGGTTTTAAAGTTATAGGATAAAAATGATTATCGCTCACGCTCCAAAAACTTATTTCGGTTCAGGAGATATACAAAAATCATTGGGTTCTCTTTCTGGATTTCCATGGGTGAAATATCCCGGAGAAAAACATCTTCCCGGTCATAATAGGTTAGATCTGCGATTAGACGAAAACGATAAACCCAAACCAGGGGAAGAACCAGTAAATAGAGTTGATGCCGCTGCGCTTAAACACGACATACTATACAGAAAAAAAGACATAAACTTCAGACACGAAGCAGACAGACAAATGATAATCGAACTTGAAAATATTCCAAATCCAACTTTCAAAAAGAGAATGCAAAGAGCATTAATCATTAAACTGTTAAAAGCAAAGATGAAATTAGGCATGGGATTGGCGGATGAAATTCATAAAGAATTTAGAAAAACTAGAAACTTTTTAAAAGTTAAAGTGTTTGAAAAAGATGAAATATGGTCAGCCGATTTAATTCATATGCCAGTCGAAAGAGGATTTAAATATTGCTTAACAGTTATAGATTTGTATACGAGATATGCTTGGGTTATTCCTTTGAAAAATAAAACAGGATTATCAGTCAAACACGCATTTGAAACGATTATGAAACAATCTAACCGACATCCAGAAAAACTGTGGGTAGATAAAGGAAGTGAATTTTATAACAAAATTATGAAATCTCTGGGATTTGAAATTTACAGCACGCATAACGAAGGTAAAGCTGTAGTAATAGAAAGATTTAACAGGACTCAAAAAAAATAAATTATTCAAAAAGTTCACGGAATTGAAATCTCAAAAATGGCTTAAAATATTACCAGAGGTTGTAGATGAATACAATAACAAAATTCATTTATCTATAGCTGTCACACCAACACAAGCCTCGAGTAATCCAAATATTATAAAGTCAATTAACGCGCAACATAACTACGAAAATGAAATAAAGAATTTAAATATTAAACCCAAATTTAAAGTCGGAGATCGAGTTCGTATAAAGCAAATTCGAAAAAGGTTACGTTGGATACTGGACATCGTTGATAAAGTAAACACCACATCACCTCCGACATATGAATTAATCGATCAAGACAAAGAACAAATCATAGGAAGGTTTTATCAAAACGAACTTCAAAGAACCGACTTTTAAAAATGAATGAATTTCTCGAAAACAATGATGAAGAATTTGATAGAAGATTAAGAAATTTAGATGTAGAACAAGCATTTACGCTTTCTTAAATTTAAATTTTTTAGATTTAAATGCAAATTTATGTTCAAAATATTATTGAATGTGTTCTATCAGAATGTTATACAATTTTTTCAAACACAAACTACGTATATATTTCATCAATTGGGATTTCAACAATACTTAGCGCATACTCCTCAAAAAACCGACTTTTTAAAATGAATGAATTTCTCGATAAATATGGAAGCGACACAACCACAAACTTTCAACTTATGAGATGGGCGAATTATATTTCTTCGATTCTTATGGATTAGAACCCACTGAAGAGATAATGCAATTGACTAATAAACCAATCACATGTTGTTCCTTTCAAATTCAATTACCGGGACAAAAGTTTTGTGGTTAGCTTTCACTTTGGGTTTTATATCAGTTGAGTTTAGAAAAACAATTCGAAGAAATTGTAAAAAATTTAACTCAATAAAAATGGCGAATAAGTTTGGATTAGGTTCTTTATCTTTAGAAACTAAAAAAAACCTAACACTACAGCGTGGATAAATAAAGCGAAAACCCACTTTGTGGATCAAATCGGAGACACTCTTCAAGGTGATTTAGATATGAACAATTTCAAAGTAACTAATTTAAAGTCTCCGGAAAACGACAATGACGCCGTTCATAAGAAGTATTTACGGGAACAAATAAATTCAATTGAAGTAAATAAAAACCATTTAGAAGATAAAATAAGTAATGTGAAAAGATTCTTCAAACGTCTACTAAATAATAATAATTTTGTTAATGATACTAAACTACAACAAGAGGTAAAAGGATTAATAAGTTTTATTCAAAAAGAATTGGTCAACGTAGCGAATAAAACTGAGTTACAAAATTTAATTTCATTAATATCTAAATTAGATGATAAGATTGCAAAACAAAAATTAGACATTCAACAATTAATAGATAACATTCCAGATGAAAATGAAGATACGTTTCAACAGGAATTAAATGATCTCGAAACTAACAGTGAATTACAAAAAGAACTAAGAAAATATTAAACAACAAATACAAAACATAGATGATAGCGAAATCAAAACCTATATTAAACAACAAATACAAAACATAGATGATAGCGAAATCAAAACCTATATTCAACAACAAATACAAAATATTGATGATAGTGTTATTCAACAACAGATAACCACTATTAATAACCTAGTTTTGAAACAGGACAAAAATATAGTCGCATTAGAAAAAAAGTATCTCAAGAAAGAATCATATTATTTCAATCTTCCATTTGTAAGTTTTAGACGTGACGATGATGCTTCTATTACTGATAATATTGATAGATGAGTATGAATATAAAAAATATGGATTTACGGTAAATATAAGAGTATATTCTGTTCTATATGGTGCTATTATTAACCCCTCAGATATTTTTGATATGATTGAATTTCGTCCATCAAGACGATTTTTTTTCCGAGGAAAAGTTATAATTGAAATAACTTTTCCTTTTCAGGTAAAAGTTGAATCAATATTCTTCAGACAAAACTTTAGTTTATATAAAAAATTTAACGCTCAAAAAATTCTTCAGTTTATCAATGGTACAAAAAATGTAGAAATTAAAGAATTTGAAATTAACGACGAAAACAGCAAGCCTCGTCACTTATATGAAATTAAAACGAGTGGAAAATATATAGACAGGTTTAGAATGTTAATCATACCAGATAAAGAAGAAGATGAATTTACATTGAGTCATTTTGATATGTTATTGGAAACGGAAACTCCACCATCAACAAGTATTATTAGAAATCCAGAACCACAAAAAGAAGGAAATATGAGTTATGAGTTTTTACGAACGTCAGACTTTGAATACGTAAAACTATATTTTGTTCATAGTGATATATTTACCTCAATTGATATTCATAAAAGTCAACAAAAAAAAAAAATTTTGATACCAACAATAAGAGATGATGTTGATGCATATGTTAATATATCAATCTCTATTGAAAAACCCAAATTTTCACCTCCTCTGAATAAGATTAATGATTCGAAAGAACAAATGTCGTTAATATCAGTAGAAGTTTTTATTGATGATGGTAAACAAGAAACAGCTTTATCAGAAATTCATTTAATTTAATTACCTAAAAAATGGAACTCGAAAGTAGACAAAAATATATGATAGACAAACAAAACGAACTAAATCAAAATCAAAATCAAAACAATTCAACAAATGTAGACAGACATGGAGTAGAATAGATTCTGTTTTCAAAACATTAAGTACAGTTTTAACACAAGGGATAACGGTGGCAACAGCCGTAACCGGTGGATTAATGCTTCCAATAATTGTCCCAACTGTATTAGCCGCGTTCACTGCCGTTCAAACTTCATCTTGTGGATTTATTACTTTAGGTTTTACATCAAAAAAGAAAGCTTATTATAAAAAGAAAACGGAAATTTTAAATACATATCTTAATAAATTATTCATTTTTTTTCGAAAGATCGAGAGAAGATAAGAACATAACCATTAAGAATTAGAAGAATTCAATGAAATCTTAGATAAATTTGATGTAGAAATATCGTCAATAAAAGTTAAAAATTCCAGAATAGATACTTAAAACAAATAATGGATAAAATTGGAAATTTAAACCAACCTCTATTTAAAACACTTTTTTCAAAGATATTCAATTCAATACCTAATTTATTTTCGCGTAAATTTGACGAAGAAGATGAAGAAAAATTTAAATATGTAATTGATAGGACAATCGATATTTTTAAAAATGGGGAAAATGAAATTAAAATATCAACCACAAATATGCTTTTTTCAGAATTAATCAAGAGAATAGTTATTCTATTTAATGATTTTAAAATTAAAGGTCAAATTGAAATAAATGGTCAAATATATGAAAAGGGTGAATATAAACAAGACATGAGATTTTCTGGATTCAATGCTCAAACTTTCAAGATTAATCATTCAATGCATGATAAATCTGATGCCTCTTATTGGTATTTTACAGGAGAGATTATTTTCCGCAAAAATAATTTTAGAATAGTAAAAAGATCTAAAACTGGCAGAGGTGGTAATCTACTTAAAAAGATAAATGAATACAAAGGCGAAAATTGTTACATACCAAGCGATGGTTATTGTTTTATAAAGTGTGTAAATCACTTCATGAATAAAGACTTAAAGGAATCTCAAGATTTCGTCAACAGTTTTCAAAAAGCAAAAAGAAAAGGAGTGAAAGATATGTAAACATAGACTTAGATTGGGTTTTTTATTTACACACAGAACATTTCTGTTTGATAAGAAGAAATAATAAAGCTTTATGTATTAAAGAAATAGAAGATAATTACGATGAAAATGTATAGAGAACCTGCGGGGATGATGATGCAGTAACATGTTTTGCTCAGTTAAAACTAAACGTGATTTCACAACCTCATGATGATACTTTATTCGCTTGGGATTGCGAAACCTATTGCGAAAATAAAGCTATTCCTTATTGTTGTACTTTAGTCAATTTGGAAAAACTAAGGAAAAAACTAGAACTAATTAAAAGAGTATTCCCAGATTTAAAGCGAACTGATCCCATTCCAGAAGAATATTACAACAAACTCATGATTAATATAGTAGAAATATTTGTAGGAACAGATTGTTTCGATCAGATGTTGCGTCGTCTAGGTACAGTAGATCAAAAAAGACTAACCTTAATTGCTCATAACGCCAGTGGTTTTGACAACTGGATTGCACTTCAAAGCATTAATAAACTAACACAATGTCCACTAGTAACAGATAAAAAAAATTCTATCTCTTCCTTTATCTAATCCATATACAGAAGAAAGATTGCAGAAAAAGTTGAAAAGAGAGAAAAAAAGAGATAAAAAAATATCTGATAAAAATAACTATTTACAAAACATATGTCTCACTTGTTCCTATCAACATGAATCATCTAGTTTGGCTCATCCAATCTACCAATGAATTTAAGAAAAATAATGAATGTAGACATTGTTAAATACACCAAAGATAATTGGGAATCTTTAAGACACGAATGGGAACCTTACGCTAAAAGAGATACGTTATGTCTCGGGGCTTGTTTGATAAAATACAATCAAGCCATGAAAGAAACTGTCTTCCAAAACGTTTCAAATAATCTAACGGCTCCTTCTTTATCTTTAAAGGGTTGGTATTATTTATATCATTACGATAAAGAAATGGTTGAAGAAGAATGGTATGAAACTACTAGAATGGTTCCGAAACACATTGAAAAAGAAAAAATAGAAAAAGTTTATTCACATACTCATCCTTTTATAAGATATTTTATCAGACAATCCATTAAAGGGGGAAGAGTTTCTGCTAACAGAAAATCATTTGAAACGAATAAAATGGATGAGATTTGCACCATTTTAAAGGAGTATCTAGAAAGTGACACTGAAGGAATAATAGATTTATTCAAAGAATACAGTGCTAGCACGAAAGATAAAACGGAAGTTCACGCTAAACTCAAAGAGCTGAACTATTCTAAACTGATGGCATTTGACGCTCTGGGTTGTACGCCTCTGCTATGACAGAAGGTGAATATCCAAAAACTGAAAGTGCAAGAGCGTTTCTACCATAAGAAAATAAAGAATTTCTCAAGCTCTTTAATGAACAGAAATTCAGACCTAGAACTGCTATTTTAAAAGTCNTGGTTTGAATATCCGCAAAAACATGTTCTTTCAACCT